CACACTGACTAAAATTTAAAAAGTGAAAAAGCATAATAGGACCCCTTTAAATATCTGCAAACTAGAGGTCTGCTACCCGACCCGAGCCCGACGGGTCCCGAAATACTTTCGGGGGTCGGGTTCAGGTTAATGTTTAATGAATAGCTTCGGGTTCGGGTCAGGCTCGGGTTTATAGCTAAACTTAAATTAATGTTTTTTCTTTTGCCTTGTGAACTGGCCGAGCCTTAATGATTCTCTTTCTTTACATGTATTTGTTTACTGACCATTGCATGCAATCGTGAAATACAGCATTTTTTTAAATTGGCTATTCGTTGTGGGGGGAGATTTCGGGTTCGGGCCGGATTCGGGCTTCAGTTTAAAGCCCGTGTAGACCTCTAAGGAGATGTAAACAGGCAGGCCGAAGGTATGGCAAGTGGACGCAGCGTCTCGTTCCCTCTCTGGGAACCATGTTTACATGGGTAACCTGAGACGTTCCCCTTCTGGGGAACTCAGGAGATGACAGACATACACCAAACCTTTCCTCAGAAAGGGGCCAAGCCACTGACGCCTTGGGCCACTCACATAAATTGGTAGAAACAGGGAGCCCGATTCCAGATAAGTGGGAACACCCTAAACAAGCTAGGAACACAACCATCCTCAGACAGCTATGCTATGTGAGCAATAGTAGCCAGAATACATAAGACCACTAAGAGGCTGGAAGCCTAGTCTCAAAGATTGCTACCAACAATCTCAGCTAGGACACAGCTATCCGCAGATAGCTATATCCAAAGGGTCTTATGACAAAGGACCTTCCTAAAGGGCTGCCCAGACCAAGGGGATCTACTTAAAACCCCGCAGGGGAGATATCATTGTCTAAGCCAGGGCTCAGGGAGACCGCTACTTAAAAACCCTAAGAAGGGGAGCAGTCACATAGCTATCCTCAGATAAGTATATACCTAGGAAGGGGCTACCCGACGGGACCAAAACTAAAAACCAGGTAAACCTTCCTGAAGCAGCCCAGACCACAGAGAGTGGGCTATCTACTTACGACCCTAGCAGGGGAGATAGCACTGTCTATGCAAGGGCTCAGGGAGACCGCTACTTAAAAACTCTAAGAAGGGGAGCAGTCCCTAAGCTAGCACATACTGTATATATCCTCAGATAGCCATGTACCTAGGAAGGCTACCAGAAGTGGACCGACTGAGACTACCCAGACCACAAGAGTGGGCTGTCTACTTGCAACCCTAGTAGGGGAGACAGCACTGTCTAGGTAAGAGCTCAAGGAGACCGCTACTTAAAAACCCTAAGAAGGGGAGCAATCACCGAGTTATCAACAGCTAGTCCCGCACAGCTAGCCTAGATAACCAGGTAAACCCTCCTATGAGGCTGCCCAGACCACAAAGTGTGGGCTATCTACTTACAACCCTAGCAGGGGAGATAGCGTTATCTAGGCAAGGGCTCAAGTAGACCACTACTTAAAGACCCTAGGAAGGGGAGCAGTCACTGAGCTAGCACATAGATATCCTCAGATAGCTATATGTGTAGGAAGGGCTACCAGAGGGGGACCAACTGAAACTACCCAGACCACAGAGAGTGGGCTGTCTACTTACAACCCAGAGAGGGGAGACAGCATTGTCTAGGTAAGGGCTCAAGGAGACCGCTACTTAAAAACCCTAGGCAGGAGAGCAATCACCGAGTTAGCCCATGGCTATCCTCAGATAGCTAGGCTCCAGGAAAGGGGACCACTGCAACTGCCAAGACCACCAGCAGTGGGCTGTCTAATTATAAACCCTATAAGGTGAGACAGCACTATCTAGGCAGGGCTCAAGGAGACCGTTACTTAAAAACCTTAAGCAGGGGAGCAATCACCGAGCTAGCACATAGCTATCCTCAGATAGCTACGCTTCCAGGAAAGGACAAGTTAACACACAGCTAGCTTCAGGGGGCTGTATTCAAGTAAGCCCATCCTGCCATAACAATGGCCGAAATGTAACCACCCTTAGATGGCTATACTAAGGAGGTCCCCAATCAGTGTCAGTCCCACAGTAGGCTAGCGAGCACTGATATATTGACCAGAGGCTCACAATAGGAAGATCCAGACCATAGTAAATGATTCGCTAAAGAGCGAACACATAAAAACCCATTAGTCCAGATCAAAGCCTGATGCAAGCAACGGCCATAACACTAGGTGGCCGGACACAGCTATCCTCAAATAGCATTTCCATCAGATAGGGCTGAAGTCTGCCCAGACCATGAAGTGGGCCATCTACTTAAAACCCGAACAGGGGAGACAGTCTAGGCAAGGACTCAGGGAGACCACTACTTAAAGACCCCACAAGGGGGAGCAGTCTCCGAGCTGGAACACAGCTATCTTCAAAGAGCAGATTCCTAAACAAAGCTCCGCCCACGATCTCGCATGCCCTGAGCAAAAATGACTTCATCGTGCTCACACTTTCATAGCAACGTGAGCAATAACCGCGGCATCTGGCAACCCGATTGTAAAGGGTTTGCAGACACAAACGCTTTGCCCCGCATCCCACGGGAAGCGCTAGCGGAGCGTATCAATGTGACTCATCACAAAGAGCGCGTGATCGCTGAGACAAAGACGCAAAGATTAGAATATGCCCTCAAGAGTTAGAATCCAAACATGGAGGCACACATTCCTCAAAGCGCTGCTCGACTCACCAGAATGATGTTTCACACACGTTGGCAAACAGACGGCTCTGAAGACAACAAAAGTTGGTGACGTATTCAGCAGGTGCCCTTATGTATTTTTGGGTACCCGCCTATGAAGTCACAGGTCACTTGGACCAATAGGATTGGAGTTGTTTTACACAAGCTTCAGGCACTGGTCATGCTGGCTGCATTCCCCAAAGTGTCCACCAGGACGCAGCGTTGAGGAAGGGTAACTACATTTAAGGAAGCATCCTTATTTAAATGGAACAACTAGTGACTGATTTGGAAGACTCTACAAAGACAGCAATTCCAAACTCCCCACAAATTGTACTCCTCAAAAATTGTGCAAAAGAGACAATTTACCCTTAAAGAGTTTGATATTAGCATGTTGCTAAGCTAGCAGTGTAATACTTTAATAAACATAAAAACAAATAGCACTTACAAATATTGGGTAAAATAATAGTTTTATTTTCAGAAAATTAATTCATTTTTTAATGAGAATAGTTTTACTTTTAATTGATATAAAAGCATTTTTCTCAAACTATCTTCAATCTTTTTTTAAACGTGTTGCAGTGCATTCTGGGATTACCTTATTCACATGCAATGATACCTTGGAACTTCAAAACAGTTTTATTTCTAATATCTTTTCTGTTAATAATTTTAATTAGATTTTTTTTTCTGTTTTCATTTAATTTGTAATTTTAGTTAAAGCCTTTGTAATTTTGTTGTGTTTTGTCATTTTTATTTTTTTTTTGTAAATAAATCTATATAATTGTAACGAATCAGTCCACTGAAGGCGAGCGTAGCAAAATGAGAACTGTTTATGGGAGGGAGAGGAGAAAATTGTGTGTGTGTGACTGTGTGTTTACTTTTTCTCAGCTGTCATTTTGGAAGATGACAGGTCATGACAGATGGGTCATAAAATGACATTCTCGATCAATCAAACACCTTCATTCTTATCCTTCTGTCGTTGTCAATCAATCTGTTTAGAGCAGGTTTAGACAGACAGTAGAGCAGTAAAAATTGACAGGTACAATCATACACACATATATGAAGTATTTGTGAGGTTTAACCTGATGTGCAATTTCGTATTTACCCACAATCCCCTACTCCTCAATCGTTCTGCACTGTCAGATGTCAGTCCTTTGTACACAGGAAGTCTTGTTGTGGGATGTAATGTCTGTCAAGCTTAACCTCAGCAAGATGCATTGTCTGGGGGGATGTGTGCCCATTTTATGTTGGTCGGAAATATTGATTTGGTTCAGACAAGCATGTAGGCCTAGTCTTTGTAACACTGTAGTTACAGCATGTGCACCAGCAAAAGCTCATTGTCCTATAACATGATTTTTTTCTGTTGACTAATTGCACTTTTATATTAATTTAATATATACTGGCGGTGGGGAACTAAACCATAATGAGGCTTTAATGTATAGCCTAATCAAAGCACTGGCAAAAGTAATTACTATATATCAAGGAGATATTTTAATTATTTATTAATAAACTAGTGTTTTCTCAGTCAGTGTGTCGTCTGCAATACAGTGAATGCACTGTTAGAGAGAAATGCAGCTTTCATACGGATTACGTAA